CTAGTTAGTACTTAGAGCAGTACTTATCTCACGACCGCCATGAATGCACACACCATTAGCTAGATACAAGCTCACGCTTCTGCATGAAGGTAACATAATGTACCATGGAAATGGATATGACTCAACCAACAGCCATTGAGATATTAAGACTTTGTGGAATTCGTGCCCGAAAGACCTTTCTGTAATCCTAGACCCCGGGCAAAAAGGGCGAAGGGGAAATTTCCACTCAACTGGTAAGATCCACCGGGTGCATTAATGACGTGCTGTAATCCGAGCATGGAGACGAAAGCCGGGGATTAGCTTTCCCCTTAAAGCTGAAGAGAGAAGAGAGGATTAGAAATGAGGCAAGAGAAATTGATCTAAATTGACCAAAAATGAGTGAAAATATCGAAACTTGACGTTTGAACTCTCTACCGGCCAAAGGCCACGTCCAAATTGAAAAGATGACCAACAAAGAAAAGTTCTCGAGACATCAGAAAATATAATTTCAATTCGAGGCACTTTCAAGGACATTTTGCCGACAATGGCGACAAGTTGAAATGAACTATCGCAAATTTCTTTCTGATGAGGCTTCATGACGTTCTCCGATTTTCTAACAGGGCACGACCCGCGAAAAATTGCTGCAATGGATCCACGAGGGAATTCCATCAGCTTCGATTGATTTTAGATGGATGAGAAATGGCATCGATCTGTGCAGAGCACCCACCACACCCTCCCTGTCATCCTGCCCTGGACACCCTTCCAATCATCCTGTCCTTGACACCCTCCCTGTCATCCAGTCCTTCACATCATCCCTGTCATCTTGTCCTCCTGAGTCATCTCATCGTCTGCGAGAGTCAATTCATTTCAGTGGTGGGTGGGTACCCGACAGCTTGCGAATTTGTTTTCTCTCTCCTGATTCCGCTGAAAGTTTTTGAGAAGCTGAAGGCCGGGTAGGAGATTGAGAGGTTGAGAAATTTGAGCCGATTGGGCAGGGAATCGAGATGGACTGTGGTGGGCTGCCTTCGGGAGGATCCAGAGCCTCTTATTCATTAAAGTCTTGAGGAATGTCAAGAATCGCTTTCGATGTTTAAGTGGTGAAGGCCAAGAAGGTCGAAGGAACTGCAAGCCGAATGTCAAAGAGAGTGAAGAAATTCAGGGGGATTTTGAAAGAAGGTCTCGATTCCCCCAAAAGCACAGGGCATCCAGAATATCCTGTCACCCCCCTCGAACATACCCTCTGGATCGGAAGAATCAGACGAAACAGAACTTGGAGGGCACCCTATCGACAGGGGAGTATAGGACCCCCGAGGCACGAGCAGCCGGATCGGAACAGCGTTTCTGAGTCTGTGGAAGAGCCGAGATGGAGACCCAATCTCGCCGGAGGAGAACTCACTTCCAAGCGGTCCGTGCATGGTGCTGTAGCTCAACGAGATCAAGTATAGTTGATGGGAGGATACAGCAAGGGGCGTGATGCGCTTGGAGGAGGTCGAGGAAGGTCCTTGGGCATAATATGCAGCCTCGATGGGGTTGCCACCTTTCAAATTAACAAAATATGCACACATGTACTATGGACATAAGGAAATATGGAAAAATATTCAAAATATACTCACATATGTGACCTTGCTGCAAATACCTACATCCACCTTACGCCAAGGCGCCAATCGATACTATTGGCGTGTGGCCGAATGACTCTTGACAAGCGGAAAAGAACGATTTCAGCTGTTAAGCCCTCTTAGCTAAAAAAAATATTAAATCTAAATTATCGACGAAGCAGCGTCTATATTAAGACAAGTTTGCAGTATGGACATTGCATCTGAAATATGTACTGCCCATACTGATTATGAACCCTAAGCCTGATAGAATCCAACCTACGGTTGGTCTACGGATACCGTTCAGAAAATCGGAATGGAATGCTTTTAGAGTACGGGATCGGGTAGATGTAACCCGAGACCGAGGCTGACGATAGGGAAAGGTTCTTTATGCTTAAATCGCTGCGAGCTGTGCAACGTGACTGCGACTCGTTGTCATGGCAACGATCGGTCGACGTTCGCAATGTCTAGGTCGAGTGCTCGTCCAGGATTGGAAACCTTGGTGTGTCGTCATACCAAGGAAGATGGCCTCAGGCATGGCTCCCCGATCTTTTTCACGCGCAGCCCCAAAAATCACGATTATACCATTGAGGACCCCAAACACTGACCGAAGTTCGACAGGATCCCCACCTATGCGCTAAAATCGCAAATAAAAACATAACTTGGCATTTAGTTGCCGGTTCAAGACCGCAAATCTGATCTTGGTGACCCCAGGGTTGGTCGCGACCCTTGGGTTGGGAAGTCCTGGCCTAGGGCATCGTTTGAGTACGCTTTCTCATGTCACCACCTCTCCCCTCCTTCCCCCCACCTTCTCCCCCCTCTCCCCCCCCCCTTCCCCCTCCTATTAGTTCTTTCCTGCGACAGAAGAGAGAGTGATAATCGAGCGGGGAGAGAGCAAGTGCCGAGTAATCGGAGAGTGAAATGGGAGTTAGATCGAGAAGCGCCCTTTTCTCACTCGATAAACGCTCCGAAATTTGTGAGTGTGGAGTTCGCTCTTTCCTGCATTCACGACAAGGAGGCAGGAGCCGTAATCGGATTCGGGGAATGGCAGCGCTTTTCATCCGATTTTCTTTTTTTTTTCCGCTTCGTCATCCTCGGCTCGAAAGGATTTTGGGCGGAAATTCGCGGAATCCCTGTCGAAAAACTTTTATCGCTTGATTAGTTTCTGTGAACCTGCTGCGGAGCAAGTTTAACTCTCAGGATTAGTTTGAGAGGGAAACGAATTGCATTTCGTGCATGTCAAATGAGTTTAGCGACGAGTTCAACTCATTTTTGCCCGGAATCAGATGAGTTTAACTCCTAAATCGATCTGATTTTGCTTTATTCGTCGGTCGCTCTTCGATTCGAGAGACAAAAACAGGAATTTGAGGATCTTCGCTCGGAATCGATCGCCTCGATCGCGCCCCGAATAAGGGCAAGATAGAGACTTAGTTCTTCTTCGGTGGGGTTCGTGTCAAAAAAATGCAATTTTCATGGAGCATTTCCAGATTCCGCAAGTCCTGGCATACCTCTCAGGTTTTCCTCTGTTCGCGATTAAGCGATCCGATCGAGATCGTCGCGATCCTATTGTGGTCGGTCGGGAGGAAACTGTCTCAAGGTCCAATTCTCTGCTGGCTTGCCGAGATTATGTTTCTTTGTGACCTGAAAATATCACGAAATCGAAGACTGTCGATAGCGAAGTGTGGCGTTCAGTGGCGTAGCGAGGGAGGGCTGGGGGGGGGGGGGGTTCAGCCCCCCAGGTTTGGTCCAAGCCCCCCCAACTCTGGTCGAAATGCGTCCGCCCCAACCTGACAAGGCGAAGTTAGCCCCCCCCCAACGTTCCGCTTAGCCCCCAATTAGCCCCCCCAACTTTCCTCTTAGCCCCAATCGATGAANCCCCCCCCCCCCTCAACGTTCCGCTTAGCCCCCAATTAGCCCCCCCAACTTTCCTCTTAGCCCCCCCCCCCCCATTGACGAAAACCTGGCTACGCCACTGGCGTTACCAGACAGTTGTGTGACGATGGAGTGGCCATCAAGGCTGGCTGACCTTTCCCAATTCTTTTTCACGAAAGAAAATGGACTCGTAATTCTTCGGAAACAAAAGGGTTAAGGTTCGTCTCGAATCATTCCTGACATCATGGATGAATGACATCGTGGATGAATGAAATCATGGATGAATGACATTTTCCGCCTCTTGAATTTCCGCTTTGACTCAGCGCGACATCTTCAGGACGATGCAACAACTTGTTCTCTCCCGTGCCTTCGCCTCTCATTCGACAGATGTCGGAAGCGGCGAAAAGGCCTTTTCTGACGAAATTTCATCGACGCGTTTCCATGTATGATGGACGATGCGATGCACCTGCAGTCGATTCGGGTCGATCCGGCCTATAATGGGAAGTCTATTCCGCGGCGCTCCTTATTTATCGAAGTATTCAATATCTATGGCCGTTTCCGAACACGAACGGTTTGGTGTGAAGGCCGTGAGAGGGCGTGGATTCGTTCATCGATTGGGGCTGGTGCAGTCGGTCTCGGTGGAGTCTTCTGTCTGGTTTGTGAGGGTTGGGGCCGTGTTCAATCATGGATGAGGATGCCATGCCCTTCGTCGAAGGTCATTTCGGCCTTTAAATTCCATTACGTGGACAGGCGTTTCGGCTGTCGGATGTCGATTCCGGGGGCTTTCGTGATGATTCTCCGATTAAAAATCCATGTCTCTCGGCGAAAAAGAAAGTAGGATGAGGAAATGTGAAATGTCATCCGACTTACATCTAGGTTAATACAAATTACGTTTTTAAGAAAATATATACTGTAATATTAAGTACGCTTTTAAATAAGTAAATATTCCCAGAGTACATATTCCCAGTAGTAACTTAGGTACAGGAAAAGTTACTTTTAAAATGAAACTCGCTGGTTCCAGGTATTCGTTTGGTCATTTTGATGCTATGTGACTTGAAAAATGACGTGGTCGACGCAACCCCCGCAGGTTCTTACGGCAGGCGATCGATCGACGATTAACGATTAACGATTAACGATTGCTTGCAGACGGTGAGACAGACGGAGAGGACGAGGATTCGTTTCCGGGTTTTGTGGGGGGTGAGGGGTCAGGATTTTCCGCTTTTGGATGCTGAGTTCCGCGTTTGGCGTTCGTTGTAATTAGCGACGGGTGGCCGTAGTGGTACTTTCTGTTGCAGAAACTCGGTTACCGAGTCGGTCAGGTGGGTCAAAATGTGAATCATGGCTTTCGTGAATTACAAAAAAGCGACTACATGTTGCGACTAGCATGCAATATTCACTGCTCAAGCCTATTTATGTTTCATTCTGGCTCACATTTTATGAATAAATAACTAAGAAGTTTCTCGAATAAAGCTTCTCTCCGAGGCAGTCAATAAATATCCTCTCGGTTCGTGACCGAGCGTTTTTGAAGACGATTCCAACGATTTGAAGACGTTTTCAGCCAGATCCAAATCCGTTTATTGCTCGGCGAAAGCAAAATAATAAAACCGGCTCCACCGTCGATTTATTTTTTTTACGTCTCTCTTCCCCTCGAGAGAAAAAGAATCGCATCCGGTCTTACCTCGTTCTTGGATAATACTGGAGAGCCTTCGTCCTTCTATAACAACAACAGACAACAATCGATAGAGCCGTTTGTCTCACGTGCGGTGAAACTCTACTGGGGATATGTCGATAGAGATGTGATAGATGCAAGCAGTTTTTATCACATGTGCCCGCCTTCCTAGATAAATATAAGAAGAAATCTCTAAAAGTCGGTTTCCGAACCGAGAGACACGCACGACGCGCGATCGTCCGCGATCGTTCGCGATCGTTGCCGGGACGGTTCCTGCATCGAGGATGAAAGCCGTTCCGTCCGTCCCGCAACGGAGCACCCTTGGATCGTATGGACCAGCCATGAGTAGCACCTTCAGATGGGGCACTGGATGATGTGGTATTCGAAGAGGAGGGCGACTGCGAGAAAGACGAAATAGAGGAGAAACATGGTGATCCCGAGTCCCTTGTTCATCTTCCACCGGAACACGACGATGGAGACGAAGACGAGGATGAGCATCCCAAAGAGAATGAGGATGGAGCACGCCATCCCCTTGCTCTCCACCGGGACAGGCGCACCCCCGAAGATGATCCCGTACAGCAGCCATGGGAACGGGAGCCTGCAATGACCCTTTTTTTCACTTTTCACTTCTCGAGTCGCATTTCAAATTCTACTGAGTCAAATGACGCTTCGAACTAGAAGAGTTACGCTACGGGTCGTTCAAGAGTAAATAAATTACAAAAGGTAAGCACAAAAAGTTGCTGCGTGATGAATGAAACTGAGTTACGGTGACCCTGGAATTTACCGAGTAAAGTTCCAAGTAACTTGGATGACGAAAAAGGGCAAATGTTTCATCAAAAAGAGTTCTGTCCCCTGAACCCGACATTTTATGCTGAGAAGCGTGAAAACTTTTATTTAGCAGAAAGAGCTGGCCCAACCATAGCCGAGAGAAAACTCCTGGGAAGACAAACAGAAAACTGCCAAGTTTTCCCATCATTCCAGCAATATTGTACATTGGATCTGGATGAGGGAATGCAAGAGATGGAAATCCCCTTCCCCCTACTCCCCTGCCCCCTCGCCCCCCTTCCCTACGTCACGCGCCATTTCTTGGTAGATTTTTGCGCGACAATGTATTTATAATCATCCGATAAATTATTTTCAAGCAACGTCCGCCTCACTTGCCTTTTGTTAGCTAAGTAATTTCTATCATACAAGTCGTTGTAACCATGGAGATGGCAAAATCGTCATGCTTGCAAAACGTCGCCACATGTCAAAAGAGACCGCAGACAACACCTCGTTAACCCGCGAAAAATTCGCCATAACTAGCATCGACGAAAACGTCAATTTCCTGTCAATTGCCTCCGTTTCCAAGGAGTCCGAAGGTCCCAGTGACGCAGTCGGTGGCGACACCAAACCGATCGACCCTCGAATCGCGATCGAGCGACGCCGAATGCACGAAGCCTGCAATTTCCCCGTTTCGTATCGACGACAGCATCGACGGACTCCGCGTTCATCACTTATGCAAACGGGTCATTCCGAATTGAGTTCGCGTGTCGCACGGTAATGCGAAAGGGATGTCGAGGCTCGAAAGGGATGTCCCTGGATCCAGAGCTGTCTCGCGTTGTCGCACCGCAATTTCCCATCATTTTTTCGGAAGCAAACGAACCACAAAGGATCCATTCCCCGATGGTTTCCATCGATGACCTCGATCCACGCTTTTGCTAACACGAATCCCGCATATCGCGTCGAACTACCTCGATTGTCGCCACAGTTCATCGATAAATCCCCCCTCGAAGCTGCATGACCATGATGGATATAGAAGTGGACTTGGAGTGCTGCAATGCCCAACAGAACCATTCAACCTCCAACCGTCAAGTGCTCTAGAGATTGTTTCCCCCTCGTTACGAGCAATAGAATGGGAGGGGGGGGGGGGGAAACGAAGGAACCCACCGCTTCCCTTCCCATCAGGACTGCCAAATCCGATAAAACCGACACCCTTCCCCTCAGGACTGGAAAAACCTCGAAAACCGACCCAACGGTGACGTCAAAGATGTTGGAGCCGACGGAGGACGACACTGCCATGTCTCCGAACCCCTTCCGTGCCACGATGACCGACGTCATGAGGTCCGGGATGGACGTCCCCGCCGCCAGGAACGTGAGTCCCATCACCTGCAATCGGAAAAAAAATTCCTGTCAGCCTCAGAAAAACACGCTCGCACTTACGAGCCTCAAAAACGATGAGAGCTACGCCGAGGCCATCCGACTCCCGGCCCTCGCGACCGAACGTCACCGAAACCGTACATCGATCAAGATGTTCCTGGAGACTCTTCAGCAGTTTCACAAAAGAGGTTTGTTGACACAAAAAAAGAGGAAATTCAACGAGTCCCATTGGGATGAGTTCTGCTGGAAAGCAAAATATTCGGCGATCCGAGGTTCAAGTCTCGAATCAAGCGTTGAAGGAGGAGAAGGAACTTCGTCCGACTGTCGCCAGATGTCACTAGGGGGGGGCCATCGACCTCGGGAGTTTTCACGCTAGAATGTATCGACAGTAAGGAGTTCCTCCTCGTTCCGATGCCGTTGCATATCTGCAGACGATAATGCCGGAGGTGGAGGCGGAAATTGCTCGGAGTCACGAGTCCCTGCTGCAGCTGCGAGGGTCTCAATAAGCGGCCGTCGATCGACGAGGATCGACAGGGGGAACTCTTGCGAAGTCTTTCTCTTCTTTTTCATCGTTTTCAAGGCGAGATGAGGTCCATACCGTACCGTGTCCATCGAAATTAATGCGCCGGATGAATTTTTTTTCCCACTTTAAATTCCAGTGTTAGGTATTGAAAAAAAGAACCGAATGTAATCGCCGAAAACTTTTTTCTCGAGCAGAAAAAAGATTACATGAAGATTACCACAGGATTACCACGAGATCACCGCTCGGCAAGACGAACGATTCTCCCAGAAGCAAAAAAAAAAAATTCCGGCGCTGATCGAATGATCGAAAACGAATTCAAGCAGTCCGATTTCCTCCGAGTGACAATTTCCGATCTGCACCAAAGGTTCCCCGTAAAAGTCCGGAGTCTAATGAAATGTGGCCGGATCCCAGATCCAGGATACATTTACTCAGTCCGGTCGTACCCTCACGTACTTTGACTTCGACGGTTTCCTCATAATTAATGTTGCGTGTTTCGAAGGTCTCACGGAAACGAATGGAAGGGATACGACCCCCGGTTGGCACCATTTCGCGTCTGGCTCTGTCCGGCCATAATGGCGCTGGCCAGGCATTATGGCTCTGTTCAGACATTATGGCGCTGGCCGGGCATTATGGCTCTGTCCTGGCGTTGTGCCTCCGTTAACTGCTTTTAAGGTTAATGTTTAGGATTTATGGCTATTTCTATGAGACGCACGACCTGCATCTCGTAGGCTGGAGATGGTTCGCCCAGATGTTCTCACTAATTAGTAATTAATGTCAACGAGTAATTAATGCAACGGCCCGACGTTCGTGAAGATGCGATAAAAGATATCCGAAACGATGAATTCGTCGGAAAGAACAATGGACCGATTTTCTTTCATCATGTAGGAGCTTTAAGCCATCCGATGGATTGAGGTCCGGATGTCCCTATCTAGAGGGCATCTTCCCTATCTAGAAGGCATCTTCCTCACCTAGAGGGCATCTGAGTGCTTAAGAAGCTGGGTATGAGTCCACAGTATCCTGTTCTTTCACTTTAGGCATCCCACATGAAATGTCTGTTCGATGGAAGCGGCGGTTGGGAAGGAGCATTACTGAATCAGCCAGCTTCTTTCTCCTTCCATTCCATAGGGCTAATATAATGCCCCAGATCGAACCGGGTATTCTTTATGTGGGGGCGGGGAAGGGGGGGGGGGGTACCACTTCCAACTGATTAAATGAATCATCGGTTTGCTTCTATCCGGGTTGCAAGCCTTAATTGATCCCAAGGACTTTCGATCTGACTCGTTGCAAGCTGGAATTCCCTTTTGTCGTGGGAGGTGTTACTTTTTAAAGAAACAGCGTTGTGATTTTTATTTGCAGAATTACGGGATTGTATATGAAGAACATTTAGAAAATGCAAAGACATTGCTCGATGTTTCTGTCGTTTCGATGTTTGATCGTTTTATCGTTTCGATGTTTGGTCGTCTCGTTGTTCCGACGCGCTGAAGACTTTCTGATGAAAGGAGTTTCTGAGAGACTGGCTCTTTTTTTGTTCCTAACAATCTCGTTACAGTTCCTCCGACTTCTGACATTCTGCGATGCTTCCACTCGCACTGGAATCTCCAACCCTCAGACACGCGTCAATCCCACGAATACCCGGTGCGAACCGATCGTGAACTTGAGTGACTCGAGATTTTCTCGATTTTACCTATTTTTTCATGGCTCAGGAAAGGAATTGGTGCTGTCACGTGAGTTATCACATGCGTTTAACGCGGAAACCTCGCTTTCACGGAATTCACCTGACCACGCAAGTCAAATGGTGCATTTTCAAAGAAATGAAGGAGGAAGTAAAATAATAATAATTAATAATCTCAATTCTACCTCTTGCAAAATGCATGTTCTCATACGGAGAAGATATATAATTTAAGTCCATGAATAGAGAAATTTCCGTTGGATTCTCATGAAAATAATATCTCTCTGTATCTCTGGAAAGAGGCAAATAGGAAAGAGAAAAAAAAGTCATATCGTGAGATCCGGCCCCGTTTTTTCGGAACGCTGGATCGCTGCGCAAGCTGATCCTCACTAAACGCATCGAGAACCCTATGGCCATAAAGGTTCCCCTCCCCCCTGCCCCCTCCCCATGCCCCCCTGCCCCCCCTGCCCCTTCTACCATCGGCGATCAAGGTTGCGACCGGAAAAAAAGAAATAAAAGCAGTGGGGAATCCTTGGAACTCGTCGAGTTTGCAATTTCCGATTCCTCGCCGACAGCCGATCTAACTCGTAAATGGCAATTTAGCCAATTTAGTCAATTAAGCCCATACAACTGCGATCCCTCGTATCCAGACAACAAAATATCAGGGTATGATCTACTTAATATACATTCGTGTATCATCTAATCACCTATCAATCTCCGGATTCCTCCCATCCCCTCGTTAATCATCCCAAATAACATGCCCTTCACATGTCCTTTATATATCCTTAATGTGTCCGCTGATTCCTTCGAGTCCAACTTCCACACGCAAAATGCCATTCTCGGAAATGATTCTTGAAGACATCGTCACAATGGTCTGTCCAGAAAAATTTCAAAAAATGCCGAAGGAATATTACACTGAATATTTGCGTTTCGAGTGCTGTTCATCGAATGTTCATCGAACGTTCATCCAATGTCGACTCGGTTCCGAGCAAAAATACCGCATAGCAGGCCACGAATCTGCGAACCGCGACTCGATCACATCTCAATCAATCTTACTCGGACGTGGGGAAATCCGATTTCCTAGATTTTATGGCATGAAAAAGGAAAAAAAAAAACGCAAACATTCATCATCGACCAGAATTCACCTGCCTTCCAGGCGTTCTCTCGGCTTTCAGGCGCTTCTCTGATCGAGCAAGGTGGTGCTCGAAGACATAAATGGGTGCTTGAAGAGAAATTACGAGTCGCAATTCCATTCCGCTCGAGAAGAGAGCCGGACCTCACCGCAAACAAAGCCTTTTTCACTCCCGTCATGAAAAGAATCGGATTGCGTCACGGCGAAGCCACACAAGGGCGAGCAGATTAATCGCCTGCGAAGTGAATGGAGAAAGTGGTGTCAGGTTATCCTTGAGATTATCCTCAGGATTGATCTCGACGGTCGATCCGTTTCTCCGTTTCGATCATCTCGTTTTTCTCATTTCTGCCTTCGCCTTCGCGAAATTGCGGCTCCTCTCGGGATGTCTCGACCGCAGACGACGAAACAAGTCGATTTTTTCGACACTCCGGCTCGACCGACGACTCCAAGGCATCGCAGTCGTCGTCGAAAAGGCGTCTGTCAGTTACGCAGTAACGCAAAAACACAACCAAGCAGTAACGCAGCAACGCATTATCACAGCAATCACTCAAACACCACAATGATCCCCATCGATGAAGTGCATGACGTCAAGCGAGACAAAAAGACGATTGTTTCCCCTGTCGACGTCCCGCCCATGATCGACGACGAGCGATACTGTTTGCCCCCTTGGATGCATCCCACGCAACGACCGATTTCCTCTATCATACTTCGTCCTACTTGCATGAGGGGTCGTAATTTTATCCCGCTCGTTATCGCCTTTCTGGGCGGGGCGCAGAAGGCAAATTTCCCCCTCCTTCGCCTGTTCCATTCATCGTGAGACAAAAGGGTGGGGGTAGGGGGGGAAAGGGGAAAGGGGGGGAGGGGGTGAGGCTTGCGGAAACCCTGGATGATCCCAAGCAAAGAAATTTTCAAGATGGGAAGTTCAGAGTCGGAATCTTGCAAAATCCACATTCAGGAAAACCTCTTGCGCGTAACAATGAGTCACCATTCCCGGTTTCCAGTTACCCGTTACCCGTTACCCCGTCGCCCCTCCCTGCTTCGATGAAGGACTTCCCCAGGGCATTTCAATTGCATGACGGCGGGAAACACGCACCGGAAATATGGCCCATATGGTTGATTCTTGGGGGGAAAAGTACTTTTAAGTACCACTTTATTGTTGGAATTCGCTCGGGAGGCTTTATCTTCCTCGATCTCTTCGTTGCCACCGTTACTGTGTTAATGGCTGTTACTTTGATCAATTATTTCATCTTATTTTTCGCAGGAAAAGGAAGCTGCGTTCGCGCAGTTGTTGCCTCATTTGCATTCTCATCGGAGGAAAAGAGAAAAAGTACTTCTAAAGAGGTACTTCCAATATTTCAGGCGTTAGTAAACGTGCGGGAACAATGAAATCCACAATTTGGCACAATTGCACAGCATTCCTTAAACTTACTTCACTGTAGAGATTCGAGTGGCGATTTATCGCTCTGCAAGGACGGGAAACTACGGTATATCGTGGTGCAGAGGCATTTTTTCCCCGTCTCCTTCCGGGTACCGAAGCTTTATCATTGCGTGCAACGGTACTGAAAGTATCGAAGAAACCGAACGTATCGAAAAAACTGTGGTTATCGAAGGACCTCATGTGTCTCAAAGCATTAATTTCAAGGATCGACACCCTTCTTGCAGTACTGTCAGTACGGAAAGATTTCCGGTGGGGGGGGTACCACTTCCAACTGATTAAATGAATCATCGGTTTGCTTCTATCCGGGTTGCAAGCCTTAATTGATCCCAAGGACTTTCGATCTGACTCGTTGCAAGCTGGAATTCCCTTTTGTCGTGGTCCCCCCCCCCCCCCCCCCCCCCCCCCTCCCCTCCACCCTCCATCAGCCGAGCATCACTAAGCAGCACGGCGATGGTCACCCAGGAGGACGAACGCCACAGGGGAGGAGAGACGTTGCCGTGCGACCGACCGTACACAACTACCTCCAGTCGATAGGCGTGGCGTGCATCCCTCGGGTCTCCTCGAGGGATCGCCTTTCCCGTGACGTCGAGGATCAATCATTCACGACCGTCGCATTTATTTATCATCCCCATTCCGACTCACGTGAAGGTTGGGTGAGGCCTGAATACGACGAAATGCAACTTGCACGAAGGCACATCGTTTTCGTATTCCCAAGCTCCCGATTCGACGCGTGCAAATCGCACGAGACCTGCCATTCGGTTCTAGAAACGCCCGTGTTTCCTGGCCAGATGTCGTCTCACACCCGGTGTCTCTCTCCTGGATCTCCCACATTGGCACGTGAAGTCTAATGTCCCATTTTGCCTGCAGTACTCACGACATCATGCATGGCAATTAGGCCAAGGACGCCGATCAATCGTAGCCTGGTTTACTTCGAGAGGAAGAAGCCATGCAAGAACATCGCACGTCATTTTTTATGACGTCACGCCATGTATGACAACGAGAACTCCACGAACCCACGAGCGATTAGCGATTCCGAGGGATCCGCATCGCGACGGACGTTGGAAACGAGCCAAATCTGTGGAGGATCAAATGATTTTGAACCAAGACTAGTTTCGCCTTGAATTCGTTCCCGCCGACGATTTGAACGTGTTTTGCGATTTGGAAAGGAAATGCTCGTTTTATTTTTCATTTTTGTATATTTGTTTTGGGGCTGTGATTTCACTTCTCGGGTTCTGATGCAGGGAGAAGAACCGGCGGTGGAGCCGGAAGTGAACGCCCCGTTGGATCTGTCCTGGCCGAAGACGTGGACGAAGAGGGTGACGTACGTCCTGCTGGCGCCCATCACCTTCTGCCTCTGGTTCACTCTGCCGGACACTCGGACGCCGAAAGGTACGTGTGCATCGTCTGCTCGGTTTATCGCCGTTTCCGGGAAGAGGGGAGGGTTCAATATCCCTCGATCGACCAAACCCGAGGGTCTCATCGATCATCCGCGTGCGGAGTCGTCTCCCATTATCTCCTTCCTCGGTCGAGGAGGCGTCCGCGATCGATGTCTTCGGCCGTGTCGTCTGTGTCGTTCATCTCGTGTCGTGGTCGTGAACGCAGGAAAGAAATGGTACGTGCTGACCTTCATGGGGAGCATCATATGGATCGCCGCCTACAGCTACCTCATGGTGTGGTGGGCCTCCGTCATCGGCGAGACCGTCGGCATTCCCAACGAGGTCAGTCGATCCCGCCGTTCCTCCGTGTAAAAAATTAACCGTTCCCCTCACTTTAACGCGTTTTTCAGTTTGTCCATGTATTTTTGATTGTCAATAGGTGGCAGGACCGGCCACTTTTCTGTTCCAAAGAAGAGATGTTCCACAGAAAGCGACATGCATGGCCACGCAACGCACAAGTTGCAGATGTAGTAATTAGGCCAGGGATTAAAACACCTGGTCACCTCGCTCGTTCGTGGAACCTTGTGCTCGCTTTCCCCCCCCCCCCCCCCCCCCCCCCCCTTGGAGAAAATAGCGAGGCAACAGCCTCACCTGAGCGGCATGCACCGACGTCATACTCGCATGCATCAGGTCGGCTTCAATTAAGGATCTCATGTCGACTCCGCGTGGGATGAAAGTAATTTATAATGAAAGTTCATTTTTTGCGCTTCTTAGAATATGTTCGTCATTTTCCTCTTCCAGGTAATGCATGTTCCCACACAAAGGTCAATTTTTTTCGTGCATCGTCGCTCAGGCAGAGGAATCTGCAATACACCAAGCTGAAGGTGACCTTATTCGGCCGGGTTTCCCTTTTCGGCCGGGTTTCCCTTTTCGGCCGGATTTCTCCTTTCGGCCGGATTTCCCTTTTCCGCCGGGTCAATGCCGGGATGATCAAGAGATTTAATGGACGAGGAACGGAAATAATCCGGGCACGCAGAGTCCGTGTCGGCTTTTTTTTTTTTTATACGACTGCATCTTCGGCTTCATCGAACGAACCAAGAAGCACTAATGTGCTGATCTGCCGTGCAAAAGGACAAAAGGTCAAAAGGGCAAAGGGGCTTCGACCGCGTCGGTTCGTCCAACTCGTTGCCCGGTCGGAGTTTTTCAAGCCTCGAGCAGCCGAATCGCCTTTTTATCCGTTGAGCGCGAGAAGGGAGTGGAACGCGTGGCGTGAAGACGTGCGTGAAACGGACGAGACAATCGAAGGAAAGGAAGAAAACAAATTAGAGGAAGAACACGGCTGCAAGTGCGCAGTATATTGACTCGCTATCTATCTTTACAGGCGTTTTTGCGCCGGGGATAGGAGACGCTCTCGATATACGAAAGACCTCAATAATTCCACGAACTCCCCAAAGGTTTTCCAGGTCGCGTGTGGAAATAAGAAAGTGGAACGAGACGAGGAAATTCAGATGAAGCTCTGTGCTGCGTGGGAGCTGTGAAAACGATTCCAGGAAAATCGTGTGTCGTTTCGCTGGACGTTGGACGAAGGAGAAATGCATGCTAGACATGAGGAAAGCGAGAAGCGGCAGTCGTGCTTCGCGGCAGTCGTACTTCGCGTCCGTGCCCGACGACTGCCACAGAGTTGCATCTCCTCTAGGCACGTCTAAAACGCGTTTTCTCGTGGCGCTGATATTGCGCCACGTGCAAAATAAAAATAAAAATTGCTTCGTCTACTTTTTCCGAGTCGACTGTGGACGTGAGAAGGTCAAATGCGGGGTGGAAATTCAACCACAACATTAAATAGCTTCAGGGTTGAGAGAAATGAAAGGGTAAAAGAGCTCAATTTTCTATCTTTCACGGTTTGCTGCAAACAACTCCTAGCAGAGAGTTAAGAGCGAATTTTCGATCGCGATGGAATGACTGAGTCGAGTCAACATTCGCAATACGTATGTCATTTCGAGTCAGTATTGGTCAGCATTGGTCATTATCGCCGGCCCATCCTTTCGAAGTTGCGACGATAAGTCATTACCGTCATGATCCCCGAAAAAATGTAACCGATGGTTTCTGCACACACAACTTTACATCAATATGCGCATTGAATCGAGAGGCATCGCGATGGGAACGGCCGAGAGATTCAATTCATGCCATTCATGCTCCATTTCGCTTTCCTTGGGCTCGATGTATCACTTAAAGGAGACCTGGTTCCTTTCATTTTTCGTCTTTTGACTCCCAAATGGGGCTGGGTCGAATTTCATCTGTGGCATTATGCTCTCGTGCTTCGTTATTCTGCTCGGAAAAATGATACTCGGTATCAATAACTTTCCTTCGATATCGCCGGTTGCCGATGAGATATACTTTAAATCTGACGTCATATGGAAATGCATGTGCATTGCATGAATGAATCTGCGTTTGGGGTCGCGGATAAAGAAATGCAACTCTGCGGCAGTTGTCTGGCACGGACGCGAGATACGACTGCCGCATTTCACTTTCTTCCCAAATTTGACTCTGAAAACCCATAGAAGTGTTTATCGCTCGTTTTAGCGGTATTTCTCATGGCGACGAGCGCAACGCAGTCCAAGTAGGTAATCGAAGAGGACACCTTGCTAAGTGTATGCTTAGTGTATGCTTAGAGTATCCGTGTGCTAGGTGCATGATTCGAAGATGTGATTTCCATTCTCCCCGTGCGGTTTAAAGGCTCCCACGCCGGATGATCACGGCAGAAAATCAACTTGCAAAAATCTCAGTTTTTGCGAGAAGGGCAGAAATTTATCGCGATCGTGCCGAAATTCAGGATCGACAGGGAGCAAAAATCTTTCCTGTGCAAATTTTCCCAAGCGTGCGCCTTCCCCAGTGGAGTGGGTGGGAGAGGGAAGGAAACCCTTTTGCCCTTTCTGTTGCTCTTTCCCCCCGAAAATTCGTGCACGGTTCATTCGCATCGGAGTGACCGTCGGACGAGCAAAATGGCTTTCCATGCTTCTACGTATTAAAATTCAGGATGAGGTTCCTACGCCATGCCAAATGTGTTTCTCGCTGACCAGATAATGGATAGAAGACCTTGTTTTACCTTGTAAAAAGACTTGTTTACTTCAAGAGCATGCCCGTCGAGGCAATACGGGGTCGGCAAATTCGACTTTTGGATTTTTTATTTTTATTTCCCTGCAATTTTTCAAGTTGCAAGCTTTTTGCGAACTCCAATGTAGGTTCGTTCCACGTCTGATTCTTACGATGAGAAAATCATATGCGTCGTTTCCGTTTCCCTTTCGTCTTTGCTATCAGGTCTCCAATAGGAATCGGTCGTTAGCAGGCACCGACCTGCACGTGAAAGGTTGCTGTGAGAAGAGCGACTCTCGCTCTCCGTGCGGGAAGAGGTCCGATGGGAAAGGGGCAATGGGGGCACAGGGGGCAATGGGGGCAAAGGGGGCATGCGATTACATGAGTTTCCAGGGATTTGCGACATGCACTCATCGGCAAAAAAAAGCAACTTCAGGATTTGAGCGATTTTTATGCATGCAATCTTGTTGATGTTGGAAGTAATTCAAAAGTAAAAAATGCGACGCGAGAACTCCATACGATGAACGAGAAGATTGAGCGATGTTTTAAGGTTGTAAAATGAGGCGATGCCGAGACCAGCCTCCAGCATCCGAATCAACCGATCTATATCAAACGCTCGACGAAAATTCTTAACAATTACGAACAATTCGCCCTCTTCAACCACATGTCCTGAAGGTTGCCGAAGGACGAGGGGTTCCCGAGCCCACTATGCACCCCCCCTCCCCTCCCTACCTACGTATGCCACTGATTGAAAAGATGCAGAATTTGCATTGGAAATGTTCTCTATGTCATAGTGAGATGGAACAGATGGTTTGACGACCGCGATAAGTCATGAAGGCACCCTCCACCTCACCGTTGGGTCCTATGACCGTCCACAACCCTCCTTTTCGATTTTCCTCCCCTGTGTCCTTGCCCTTGTCCCTTGCCCCTGTGTCCTTGCCCTTGTCCAATGCTCCTCGTCGTCCTCGTCCTTTGCCACTCGTCTTCGCCCTTCCACCCCCCATACTCCTACGCGGTATGGGGTTGAAGGGCGAGGACGAGGACCCTTCCCCCCCCATTTAGCGTATTAAAAAANCCCCCCCCCCCCCCCCCCCCCCCCCCCCCCCCCCCCCCCCCCACGTTCCCCTTCACGGAGTATTTGGCGAATTTCTTTGCATGTTGATTTTGTGCCCATGAGGCTCCGATCGATTTCATGACAATGACATGACGTGTGAGACATTTCATCAATATCGCTCAACTCTTTGGTGCTTTTGTTTGGTTGAGTACATGTCATGTTTTCGCAGGTGTCCACAAACTCACGTCACGGTACTGTACAAGGCACTAAGTGCTTTTAAAAAAATCATGGGAGACCCCGTGATGGTATGAAAAATAATTCGCTACCGACAGCTTTCCACCTGGTGCAGTCCCGGGTGCAGCTAGGGGTGCATGGAAATGCACAGCCGGTGCAGAGACCCCACCGAATATGAGACGGGTGCAACACGAAGATGGCACAAAAACGCACTTGAGGTTCGGATTTCGAATTGAGGGCGTCGCCTCGATCGATTTTCCTGGACCGATTGTCCTTGTCGTCGTCGTTGTCGTCGTCTTCGCCGACGGGGCCGTAGGCTCTTTTCCTTTCCCGTACCTCGACCCGTTTCACCTGAACACAATCTCTTTTTCATGCATCAGGTGAGGAATCGTCTGGGCATAGGCGCCGTATCCACTGGGGCAAGGGTGCGTGTGCCCCCCGAACAATATTATTTGGGAGCAATGCCAGAGCAAGATTGGTGAAAGTACTAATGCACTAAAAGTATGGCACTTTGAATTCGGAAAACAAGGTGCTTCAACAAAGTAATAAAAAACTATGTTCCTATTTTTTAATACGCTAAATGGGGGGGGAAGGGTCCTCGTCCTCGCCCTTCAACCCCATACCGCGTAGGAGTATGGGGGGTGGAAGGGCGAAGACGAGTGGCAAAGGACGAGGACGACGAGGAGCATTGGACAAGGGCAAGGACACAGGGGCAAGGGACAAGGGCAAGGACACAGGGGAGGAAAATCGAAAAGGAGGGTTGTGGACGGTCATAGGACCCAACGGTGAGGTGGAGGGTGCCTTCATGACTTATCGCGGTCGTCAAACCATCTGTTCCATCTCACTATGACATAGAGAACATTTCCAATGCAAATTCTGCATCTTTTCAATCAGTGGCATACGTAGGTAGGGAGGGGAGGGGGGGTGCATAGTGGGCTCGGGAACCCCTCGTCCTTCGGCAACCTTCAGGACATGTGGTTGAAGAGGGCGAATTGTTCGTAATTGTTAAGAATTTTCGTCGAGCCTCTCCCTTGGCCTTTTGTCACCCACCACTCCCCCCCCCCCCACCCCACCCCTCTCCCAATATCTTTTAGAAGTCGGCGCCTATGCTTCTGAGGGAATCGTCTTCCGGGGAAGTCCGTGACGGGAAGCGGAAAGAAGAGGTGTCTCGCGTGTGAGTGAGTTCTCTATTCTATGGGGCCGTATGATGTGAGGGGGGACGAGGAGGAGAATGTCGTCCGTTCACGACATGGAAGATATCACATTTTTATGGCTTCTACGTCTCCCGTGTTGCCTCGTGCTCGCGGAAGGTCCCTCATCGATTTCGAGGCCATTTCTCGGAATCGGCGAGGAGAGATCCGGGAAGGAAACGAACTGACCTGTTCCGCGGTGAGAATGGTGGGATCCTCGGCGGAATTGCTGTTCGGCAGCGGCGAGGGGACCGGGGGGATCCCGGCCCCGGAGGAGGATGGGTCGTTCACGGTGCCGATGGGGGTCGGGTTCGATTGGAGCTGGCGGCGTTGGATGTGCTGAGAGGAGCCGCTGTTGTGGCTGGTGTTGGCGCTCTGGAAGCCGGAGCTCAGGGTGGATCCCATGGGTTCGACGGTCTTCACGGTCAGGTCTCCGTTCTCCGTCTTCGAGGACTCGCCCTTGTCCTTGTCATTCTCGGTCTCCTTGGCTTTCGTCGCCTCGAGGATGGCTCGGAGGGAGGCGATGGCTCTCATCTGGGTCGCCTTGTCGTCGAGTTTTCCTGAAGTCATCACACGTTTCGTAATGGGGATGCAGGTTAACACATTGACCGCCGTTCGCGCTAAGAAGCTCACAAGCATTTGCATAACAGGATCGGCGTGATGTACGAGTACTTCAAACGATAATGCAGCGTGTTTTTAGAAGAGTCAGAACACAAGAACGGCACGGTAAATCAAAACCGATGAACCGATCGAATAACATCAGAAACGAACCTTCGTGCATGGGATCGATGGAATGTATCATGAGTTGAAGGAGACCCTGTCGAAACTTGCTGTTCTGCCCATGGATGCCGATATTTCCCGTGGTGGCCCTCCGACCCGGACTCCCCGCCGTCGTCATCGTGCTCCCCTTCCTCTGCAACCCGGAACCCATCGTCAGCCTCTCGCAACGAAATCCACCGAATCTCGTAGATCTCGCGTCCTCACCGCATTGACGAGCTGATCCGTGCTCTGGACCCGTGAGTCCATCTTCCTCCCGAACTTCCTCTTGGCCCAGGTCTCTACCCGCTCGTCGAACTTCATGTACCCAACGTAAGCAGCGTAGACGAGGAGGAGGCTCAGGGCCTCGTACCACTGGACCTGGCTGTTGAGGAAGCAGAGGATGAGGATGATGAGGCTGAGGGAGTAGAAGCTGCAGTCCCGGACCAGGGGATACCAGGTGAGATGCAAGATCGACCTCGAGAACAGCGCACACATCCCGATCACGAAAAGGATGTTAAAGACGGCCGAGCCCACGATCGTCCCGATGCCGACGTCGTCGAACGACACGAACACCCCGATGACGCTCGTGAAGAGTTCCGGTGCCGACCCCCCCGCCGCCATGAACGTCGCCCCCGCCACGTTCTCCGAGATCGCCAACTTCTCGATGATCACCTCCAACGCCGGGACGAAGAACTCGTCGCAGACCACCGCCAGAGCGACGAACATGTACACGACCCCTATCACGTGGAGCACGATGGCACCGCGACGACGCTGATCCCAGGTGAACAAGTCCCTCGGGAACAACGGCTCTGACTTCTTCTGGGTATTCTGCAGCAGCACCCTCGACGTCGGCGAATGCGACGGAGCCGGGTCCCGCTCAGACAGCACCCCCGTGTGCACCAGGAATATCATGAGGGACAGGTAAAGGACGGTGGTGATGGCGACGAAGAACAGGTAAAGGTCTCCGTCCCCTCTCCTCCTCCTTCTCCATTGCTTCTTCATCTTTCTACTTCCTAGTCTTCATGGTCCACCGCTTTTAAGCCTCGTCTCCGGTGACGTCACGCCCCTGTGCGACAAAAAAACCACCGACTTAATTTGACGCAAGTGCTGCAATGACGATGCCCCTCCCGACTCCTCATTTCGTATCGAGCAATGGATTTCACGCCACTCCTCTCGTGTGATCAATCCGTGGGAGAGGATCGATGAGACATCGTGACGCAAACGATCTCAAGTCGTGAGGATCATATTACTCATAATGTAGAATCTCGTTTATCCACTTAGTATCCGTCATGTATCTGCCATGCATCCGCTCCCAGGGGAAAGCTCTATCGCGACTGTGTTTGTGCACACGAGCAATAATTTCCCTTGCCCCTCTTCGTAAGTGTGTTTGCTCACGTTCCCAAAATGGACAAGCACCGTCGCGAAAAAAAGTTTCCATGGATCGAAGGCTCCGTATTGCTCAATAACCAATTATTATATATATTTTTTTATCCTATTGTAACGGATGAGGATGGCATCAAGGGGCACGACTAAATGTCCCGGGTTCGGTGGTGTAGTGGTAGCACACCTGACCGGTAATTAGGAGGCCCGGGTTCAATTCCCGGCCGTTCCTTGGCTTTCTTTCGGCCTCGTGCCTTCCGTCGTCCGCCGCCACTTTCCCCCTCCGTAACACTATTATAAACCTTATTGTGCTTGATTATATTATAAACCTTTATGTAATGTTCGACCAAGCAGTTTCGCCACCATTCAAAGGTTCAATCAGAATCCAATTCAACTACCGATTTTTGTGCGGTATCTATCAATATGTATCACCAAAACCACAAAAAAAAACTCCGGAACGGGGAAGAATCGGATATGCATGCATGTACATGGAATTTGAAGTACGATACGTCCGACCTCTTAATTATAGCGTTATTATCTCCGAATTACAACTGTAGACATTTTTGGGGGATTCCAGATTCCACATTTCTGCCAGAAATTCGCAAACATCGCGTCGCGGCGCGCAATATCGTCCATTCTTTCTTACATTTTCTTTGCCTGTTTGACATGTCTGAGTCTTGCCATGACTATGTGACGATCACAGCAATGACAGTAAATGTCGATAATGATGACGAAAAGGCTCACGAACCCGCGAGTCATGCGATAAAAACGAACCGGTTCCGTCGGCCCCTCTCTCTTCGTCCAAAGATTTATAAGGAAATTCTAAGACGAAGAAGCATGAACGAGCCAACGTCTGGCGGACTCGCGCCTTTCAACGAGGATTCTTCCTCGAGATCGACATCCGATCCGCCTCCGTCCAGGGGCCTTTTTCACGAAACTTCTTTAACTTTTCTTTAACTTTACTTTAACTTTACTTTAACTTTACTTTAACTTTACTTTATCTTTACTTTAACTCAACTCAAAATCCATTTCACGAAGCCTCCTTAGTTTCCATGGCAACATTATCAGAGACATGCTGTTTTCTTTATTTTGAGTCGAGATAAAGTCGAAATATAGCCGAAATAAAGTTAAAGCAAAGTTAAAGAAAAGTTAAAGACGAAATAAAGTTAAAGTAAAGTTAAAGAAAAGTTAAAGACGAAATATAGCTGAAATAAAGATAAAGAAAAGTTAAAGACGAAATATAGCCGAAATAAAGTTAAAGAAAAGTTAAAGAAGTTTCGTGAAAAAGGCCCCAGATCCTCTGCTGGAGGAAGACTCAACCCCCAGCCGTTAGGCTCGCGCCTTTCCCTTAGAGGGGAGGAAGTCTGACGTCATCTCACGTGGTGAGGGGTCAGGGGGTGATGTTGCGGGATGACGTCAAGCAGGGAGGGGGCTGGGGTTCGTCGCGCGTGCGGCGAAGACCGAGAGGGCGGCAGCCTATTTATTTCCTTCTCTCGCTTTGTGGGGAATTTCGGGGCGACAATGAACTCCAGGTATATCGAACGAATCTTGAAAATATGTACGGGATATTTTATGAGTTTTTTGTACAACTGCTCATAATTCTGTTCCATGATAGCGATTTGGCCACTATTTCTTATACTATTCCGTTCATGACAAGAACCAATAGCCAATACTCCATTCGACCGGTGCGAATCTCGCAATGCCCTCCGTCGTAGATCGCAAATACGAAATAAAGATCGCATAATGCCAGGATATAAATTTATTTTCCAATTTTTTATTTTAATGTTTTCTATGTCTTCACTATGCTCTATCAATTCCGAAATGACCCTGCTATTTCCAATCACCCCCAATCATTTGCCAGCGTTTGCAGATTCCCGTCCATGAACGTGAATGGAAAAATCCCCTTCATTCCTCCATTAGTCCCCCACCATTCGGGGAAAAATCCGGAGGCGGAGCCGCTTTTTTTCCCAAGGCATTCTGTAGAACGCACGAGACATTATCCATCCTGGTTCCATGACTCATCTCCGTTATCGAGTCGTTCCTCGTCGTAGCAAGAATGATTTGCCGTGACGACCTGGATGAAAATCCCTCCAACTCTTTCGCAGGAATGATGGCGCGAAGGAGAGATAATTCCCTCAACGGTGAGAGGAGAGATAATTCCCTCTCCTATCTCTATCTCGCACGGATAGAGCGATGAGGAAGGAGGAAGGAAGGAAACGGGGAAAGGGCAAGGGAAAAGGAGAAAAAGGAGAGATAAGAAGAGACAAGGATAATCGACCAAACACACCCGGAGTTCCCGGTGACACCACCGTGTACCCATTCACTGACGAACCATCCCCGCACATGCCATCTGTCGATGGCTTCCGCAGGCACCCGAGGTCGTTATCCGAGGGAAACCGCTTCGGCTGCGATCCATTTCCGACATTTTCTTTTCGCGATCGTATCGGCGACGTTAACCCCCGAAACCGAGAGATCGACGCCATCGACTCGCTCTGCTCGTCTCATTTCCCCCATCGAAGGCTTCCGCGTTCACGGATGCCCAACGGTAGAAAGACTCAACTACGAAAATCGTCCACTCTTCCACCTGGAAGTCATCCTCCCTCCCACCTGGACGTCCTCCACCCTCCACTCGGAAACCGTAGAGACCCCAAATCGGAATTTCAACTTGTTCTCTTTCCCCGGCCTACGGCAAACTGAACCCGACTCGCTCCGCGTCCTACGTGCCGCGTTGTACGTACTTTTCAGCCACCGATTCCCATCCTAGCACTGAAAACTCTCTGGGAAAAGCGCTCGACCGATTTCGACGAGGATGCCAGGGCTTGAACAATCTTCGCGGTGATTCATATCACAACTACCACTGGCAGGAGTACTAACAGTACTAGCGGTGCTAATGCTAACAGTGCTACTAGCAGTGGAACTGACAGTACCGAAAGGTACCTGAGTGAGGAGCCGAATTAATCCGAGAAAACTAAATTCACACTACGAGGTCTGATCAAAAAGTTCCAGTACTTTTATTCGTAAACTTTATTTTAAATAAGTACATTAAAATCAATTGCTGTCCCCTTCAAAGTATTCCCCACTCGATGCTATGCATTATGCACCTATCCCAACACTCCTGCAACTTCTGGAAGCAGTGCTGGAAGTCCTGGAGTGTAAGACTTAAGCTGCCTCGTCGCATTTTCCTTGATGCTTGCAATGTCTTCAAATCTCTTTCCTTTCACGTGAAATTTAATCTTGGGGAACAGGAAAAAGTCACACGGAGCCAGGCCCGGTGAATAGGGAGGGTGGGGCAACGCAGGAATTTTTTTTTTTAGCCAAAAACTCTCGAATTGTGAGAGCAGTGTGGGCTGGAGCATTATCGTGATGCGAAAACCAGGCTTCATTTTGGAAAAGTTGGGGCCGTTTTCTTCTAATTTTTTCTCGCAGACGGGTCAAAACATCTTTGCAGTAAGCTTGGTTAACTGTCTGGCCTTGTGGGACAAACTCACGATGCATCAGGATCATGATGCATGATCGAGAATTCGACGAAGAGCACAGAGACGACTGGGTTTCAGCACTCGTGATTCGCGACTGGTTAATCCTAGCGCAAAGGAGGATTCAACATGCGTGCGGTTACCCCCCCCCCTCCCCCCACTCCCACCTACACTAGTCCTAGCCCTCTACCTAAAGCGGTTTATTTTTTAACAAGAAAGTACTAGAACTTTTTGATCAGACCTCGTAAATCTTCCGAAGCTCCTTTACTCGACTGATTGTGGAAAAAAAAGTATTTATCTAATATACTGTACATAGACGATGGCGAGTGACTGGCTGGCTGACTGACGCTAATTCTAGCCATGTTCTAGACTGATGAGAGGCTGAAACTTTGTATACAAATAGCTGTTAGACTGCTGACTCCAGAAAAATTCCAACATTGGGGACACATTCCGGGGGGTCTCGTTTAGTAAGCCTAGGTCAATCCCACACACGGACGCTTAGGCCTAAGCCATTCTCAAACACACTTTTCCTTCAACAAAACGGAAGGAACGCGAGTAGCTGCCGACTCTAGAGAAAGTCCAACTACGAATGTCTCATTTTTGGAGTGCATGCCCTGGGGACACATTTCGGGGGAGGGGTAAGAAGGGGCGGGACTGCTTTCTGGGCCTAGGCTCAACCCACAGATGAACGCTTTGGTTAATACCACTTCTCGTGCATATTCTTCCTTCAGGGAAGCGGGAGGGAAAACAAACAGCTATTTTATTCCGTACAGATGAAGTTCGACATAGAAGGTACGTGCCCTGATATGACAGAGTTAGCAGGCCTATATGTAAAGCATGGACAGACGCGAAGGCCTACACCAGTCTTGATCG